TAGGGGTGTAGCTTATGGAAGAGCACCTGCCTATCATGTATGTGGTCATGGGTTCAACTTGCAGTATTGAAAAAAAAAAAAAACAGTTAAGAACGCTAAGAGCCGAGGCCAGCCTGGGCTACCAAGTGAGTTCTGGGAAAGGCGCAAAGCTACACAGAGAAACCCTGTCTCGAAAAACCAAAAAAAAAAAAAAAAAAAGAATGCTATGAGCACCTCGAAAAGGAGTTTTTCCACACATCCCCCATGACTCTCCCCGCTCTCTCTTGTCTCACTGCACAGGAAATTACTATCTCAGGAGAGGAACCCTCCTCTAAAATCGATTATTGAGGCAGGGCTCATTCCCAAGCTGGTAGAGTTCCTGAAGATGTCACCTCTCCCCAACTTGCAGTTCGAGGCGGCGTGGGCGCTCACCAACATTGCCTCAGGAACCTCCGAGCAGACCCGAGCTGTTGTGATGGCGGGTGCCATCGAGCCCCTGATTGAACTCTTGTCTTCCCCGCACCTGACGGTGTGTGAGCAGGCAGTGTGGGCCCTTGGTAACATAGCCGGTAAGACACTTTCCTGAGTGGGCTAAGGCGCGAGGGGGGCGTGGACACGCTGGGGAGTGGACTTCTCTGTTACGCTTGACGTCTCGGCATCCATCCTCACCCCATTATGAATACCTTGTGCTGGGAAAGGAGCTGGTTCAAAAACCAGAACCAAGGTCAGAGGCTGAGAATGGAAGCGGATTAGACGACGCAGCACATATAACGTGGGAAGCTGCTCTGAAATGTCTTCTGAGTCCAGGTCCTACAGCCTCGGGCCTCAATGGCTTCGGGAACAAAGAGAAGTCTCAGAGCCACGTGCAGTGGTGCATGGCTGTAATCCTAACACTTGGGAGGTAGAGGCAGAAGGATCAGCAGTTCAAGGTTATCATCTGAGGTCAGCCTGGGGTCCGTGAGACCCTGTCTCACATAATAAAGGCTGGAGGACAAGTATGAGGACCAGGTTTGGTCCCTAGCTTGCTTTAATCCCAGCTCTAGAGCAGTAGAGGCAGATTGATCCCTGGGGTTTGCTTGCCAGCTATTCCAGATAAATCAGTGAGTAAAAGACCCCATTTCAGAAAAATAGGTGATGAAGGAAGATACTAAGATACTCACCATCGACCTCTGGCTTCCACCAGTGCATGCTCACACAGACGCACATACACACGCTCACACAGATGCACATACACATGTTCACACAGACGCAGCTAAACACAAATGTAACAAAGACAAAGCCAGACACGGTGATGCAAGCTTGTGATCTCAGCACTTAGGAGACAAGTGACCCTAGAAGCCTGTATCTCCTGTAAAAATCACTAAGGGTGTGTGTGTAGATATAGATGGTATACATGCAGAGAGATGGAGAGACAGGGTTTCCTTAGCTTGGAATGAGATATTTTCCCTGAAAAGCCCAGGGTGGTCTGGGAGGTGAATGCTTTATGCCCTATATGGTATGGGAAAACCTAAGGAAGGGAGATACTGTTGACAAGTTGGAGCCCCTGGATTCCTGGCTGAAATGAATAGAAATGTCACTGGGGTGGGAGGGGTGGGGGAGGACCAATTGGGTCCCTTGGGATTTTGACAAGTTAAAACCAACCAAGCATTAGTAGTTTTCTAGTTCAGAGAAGCTGCAACCCACTGCGTCAGCACATAGGTCTCCAGGGACTTCAGAGCCTGAATTAGCTAAGGTAGCTAAGAGAATACAAAACAATCACTCTGATTTTTTTTTTTTCAGTCCTGGCTGTCCTGGAACTTGCTCTGTAGACCAGGCTGGCCTTGAACTCAGAGATCCTCCTGCCTCTGCCTCCCAAGTGCTGGGATTAAAGGTGTGCGCCACCACCCAGTACAACAACCACTTTGAAATGCTTCAGGAAGGCATGTGTCTATGACAGTGGTTGGGTTTGTTTCAGTTGCGTCAACAGGAAACCAACAAGACCGAGCACTGGGTGTGACTTAGGCTTTGCCTGTTAATGGTACAAACCAAGACTTCTGAGGGGCATCAGAGCCACACACTAGGGCTGGGGATATGTAACTTGGTTGGTGTTCGCTTAGGATGCAGGAGGCTCTGGATTTCATTCCCAAGACTATATAAAACTGGGCATGGTGGTGCACATCTCTGATCCCAGCACTTGGAAGGTAGAGGCAGGAGAATCAGGAATTCAAGGACACCCTTGGCTACACACTGAATCTGAGGCCCGCCTGAGATATATAGCAAGTTCTAGGACAGCCAGAGCTACGTAGACCCTGTCTTGAAAAACACACAGGCTGGAGAATGTTCTGTAGTTTGAGAGCACTGGCTGCTCTTGCAGAGGACCCAGGCTCAGTTCCCAGCACCCATGTGGTAGCTCAGGGTCACCTGTAACTGTAGTTCCAGGGATCTGATGCCTTCTTCTAGCCTCCTCAGGTACCAGCAAAGACATGGTACATACACATACTTTCGGGTAAAACACACCCATACAATAAAAATTTGAGGCCGGGCGTGGTGGCGCACGCCTTTAATCCCAGCACTCGGGAGGCAGAGCCAGGCGGATCTTTGTGAGTTCGAGGCCAGCCTGGGCTACCAAGTGAGCT